CCTCCCAGGCTTGCGGCGCCGATTGGAGGAGAATTAGAGCGCGGGCTGGCGTGCTCAGCGGAGGAGGCGGAGCCGAGGTGAGCTGGGGCGGGCCCCCCGGGTGGGGTTAGCTGCAGAGGGGGGGCTCCTCTGGTGCGGGAGGCGGGGGGACGTGCTTAGCTGCCGTGGGGTGGGCGGGGTTAGCTTGGTGGGGAGGTGGTGCAGGATGGAAGTTTCGCCTAGGGCGCAAAACTTCCTTGCACCGGCCCTGGACAAGTGACTTTGAGTGCCCAGGGTGGGACACCTTTAAAAGGCCCCTTTAAGGTGTGTCAAGCTGGTCACCCAAAACTTGAGGCACTGGAGGCAGTGGGGCCTGGGGGACAGAGCACTGGACTGGCAATCAGGAGCCCTACGTTCTATTCCTGACTCTGACAGGCAGGATGACCTTGGGCAAGTCACTTCACCAGTCTGTGCCTCAGTTTCTCCATCTATAAAATGGAGAGAATGATGCATAGTTTATATTTACAACACCATCCCCTCCATCAGACACACGTTCAGTTCACCCCACTTCTGAGTTACCCTCTGCATCCTCCTGTCTTAGAGAAGCTAAACTCTTTAGGGCAGGGGCTGATTTGTATTTGTATGGCACAGTGCACCTTCAGCAGTAAATAATAATAAAACTAATATAACAAAGGGCCAGAGCAGTGACCACTTTGCCTGCTTTGGGGAGGACGGGAGCACAAGTAGAAGAATGGGGTTGAGGAAGAGTGGGCAGAAGGGAATTGTGAGGAGACAAGTGAGACTGACGTGGCTAGGGCTGGGGTAGGAAAAAATTCAGACAATGTCCTCCCCCAGCAGTGGCAAAGCAAGGTCCCACAGAGCCCTGGTGCAAGAATAGGTTAGGGGCTCCATTTCCATTTCTGGAATCCACCCCAGTCCAGCTTCCCGCACTCCTGCAGATCTCTCCACAGCCCCAATCCAGCTCACCCATCCCCCACCTCCGGCAGGGCCGGCTTTAGGCCGATTCAGACGATTCGACTGAATTGGGCCCCACGCTAATAGGGCCCCACGCTAATAGGGCCCTGCGCCGCAGCTCTCCACCTTGCCCCCAGCTCACTTCCCCCTCCTCTCCTCCGCCCCCTCCTCCCCTCCGCCCCCTGCTCCTCCCCCTCCCCTGCTTCCTGCGAATCAGAGGTTCGCGGGAAGTCTGAAAAGAAGCAGGGGCGGGCAGGCAGCACCAGATAACCCGGGGTGGTGGGGGGCGCGAGAAGGGCTCCGGGGAGGCACGGCCTAGTCCAGCCCCGGTTCCGGCCGAGTGCGCCGGCCCGCGGCGCGGCTCCGGCCCAACCCGCGGCGTGGCTTTGGC